TTTAGTCGTAACTAACAATCACTTATCAATCGAAGTCTTTAAAATGAGTTGTTTTTTTCACAATTAACTTCTTATTTATATTAGATGAGAATAAACTATTATTATTATGAATAATATTTGAAATTTAAATTTAGTCTGCAAAGACAATTATTATTACTTAATAAAAAATTAAAAAAAATTCAAAATTATGTACCTTTCAAAAAATAAAGATCGTTATCGTTATACAAACATAAAATTTTTTTGATAAACATCATTACTTTAATAAAGACACCAATTAAAAATCAGAATGACTCTGAAATCAAAATCTCTGCGCATCTACATATAGGGCCACTTAAATCGGGCGGCGAAGCCGCCCAAGTGTGCTACTCTAGTTACGTATATATAATGATGATTGACAGAATTGACCAATCAGCAATCAGATTGAAATGCGACATATAAACACATCGCTAGTGGCGACGTATAGATTTATACTAAATTACGCGTTGAATCACAATTACGTCATAATGTATTAAACCATTTTTTAACAGATTTAAATGATTTTAAGATTATGCTTTAAAATATTTGCCATCCCTATTAGAGACTTTCAGTATTAGTAGTTTAGCTGGGCGATAAAAAAAAAGATGGTCGAGGCCAGAGCACAAAATTCTATTGTAAAATTTCAAAGGTTCCATTTTCACCGAAAAATTACGACATGCCGAAATTTTGTAAATCACTAGCCTATCACATTCGAAGGAGTGATAAAATCAACAAATTAACCATCAATCTTCCGTTCAAAAAACCAAGTGCTCAGTATTTATTTAACACAAAAAAAAATTATTCAATCGGAGAGCCAATGATTAGATGCCGAGAGCCTGTTCTTTACTTTCTTGTTACTCTGTTCCCCCTCTTCTAAAAAGTAATAAAATTTAAATTATCAAAATAAATATTTATCTAAACCGTATAAGTCCAATACATACCACCATTAGTAAAGTTTTGCGTTTTTTGGTGGTTTAAATAAAGGCATTATTACCTGGATTTGTTAATCTGATATATTCGGTGTTGACTCTTTGATACTTTATATACAACTCATCATAGTCTTTTTGCAGTTTTTTTATATTTTCGATAAGTGATAGGGCTTTTATGGGCTTTTTGATTGCAGCTCTGCACAATTCGATCATTTTTTTATTTCCAGCACATTCTACACACCCGGTTTTTGCTTTTAACTTTTTACGAAGTTTGAACACGTCTTCAATCAAATCTTCAAAATCAGTTATAACACCTAAATCGTCTTCCATTCTATAATAAAAAAATTTATTAGTGTATTTGATTTAACAAAATTTGTTGCAACAAACAATTTTCAAACCATAAGTTAAAAGAGTTGTTCGGAGGTTGTGCGCGCGACTTTCGGCAAGAGTTATTAAATTGCGACTGTCAGCCGCA